TTTAATGCACAGCCTTTCACCTTCATGAGAAAAATATGGAAATTGAATTGTCTTTTTAAAATAAATTTACATATATTGTTTGATTTTAGATCTTTTATCAGAATATGTGTTTTTATAGAGTTTTTCTTGGTTTTACTCTTGAATTTTCCTATGTAAAGCAAAGTTATAAACATAAATAATTTTTTTAATCCTTATTAACTTCTTTCAGATTTGCCTCTTTTTCAGGTTTGTCCGTTAATTTTTTCCAAGAAAATATGGTCATTGTACATAAACCTCACTGTAAGGTGTCTAAATCAACAGGCTGAGGGAACAAGATGGCCATTGATTAAGTTCAATCTATATGTGCTCCCTGCTTTTGCTCATTAATTGCTTTTTATACGATAACACAGAAGGTTGTACTAACTATTCAAACAACTGCTAGCTTGCTGGTTGGAAGAAAAATCACAGAAAGGCAGCAGAGAAGGCAGAAAGGGAAGGAGAAGAAATTATAGGCTGTGTGAAATAAACTCTCTGGTAGAACGGGCAAAAGGAAGAAATGCCATGGAGCCAGTCCCGGACTGCAACTACCCTCTAAATCAGCCAAATGGCCAAAAATTGAGGAATTCCTTCTGTAAGTAAATCAGTCCCTATCTTTTAGATCAACGGGCTAGCCGGATCCATCTTTCTATGGCTTGGGAGGCAACACATTTCTGAAACTGTGTGGGAAGCCAGCAGGAAATCTGGGAAGCCCAGAAGAAGAATCTAATGGGAATGAGTGAATCTAGCACCCTCCAAATGTGTGGAACAAGAATTCTCCCTATCATATATAGAGAGAGCCAGAGAGATGGCCTTGGAGCAACAATGCAGAGTCAGTTACAACGATGCATATACAAATATGCTTTAAGCCTGGGAAACAAACAATGAAACAAAAACATTAGGAAGAAACTCAGACTGGTTCTGCCCTAATTCCATGGGTTATAAGAGGGAGGGAAGAGAAAACATAGGCTTTCAAGATACTGTTGCTATAGCCCAGTGATGGCAAACCTTTTGGGCTCGGTGTGTCAAAAATTTGGAAAATGCCTAACTTGACTCTGCTGGCGTGTCACCCCCTCCCCGAACAAAACAGAAACAATTCTTTATATATTCATTTATTTTTTAAAAAATCCAATCCAATCATGTGTGGTGCTATGTATTATATAAAGAAATGTCAAATAATTACAAAAATGAAATACGAATAAAACAACTCAGTTTCTTTGGTAACTCAAACAGGAAAAATAGTTGTTGTTGGGTGTTAATGCTGGCGTGTCACCCCCTCCCCGAACAAAACAGAAACAATTCTTTATATATTCATTTATTTTTTAAAAAATCCAATCCAATCATGTGTGGTGCTATGTATTATATAAAGAAATGTCAAATAATTACAAAAATGAAATACGAATAAAACAACTCAGTTTCTTTGGTAACTCAAACAGGAAAAATAGTTGTTGTTGGGTGTTAATGCTGGCGTGTCACCCAAAACGTTGTGGTGTGTCACCTTTGACACGCATGTCATAGATTCACCATCGTTGCTATAGCCTATATCAATAAATATAGTTCCAGTCAAACTTGTAGGGTCAGTTTCCTAGTCTGGCCTACCTCAAAGGGTTGACAACATGCTAGCCAGGGATAAGAGTTGTGGTCCAATACATCTGGAGGTCACCACCATGGGGAATGCTGGTTTCATAGCTTTTCTCAGCAATGGGCTGCTTCAGCTGAGGGACAGCAGCAAAATCTGGAGCTTTATACCAGGCAACAGACATGAGATTAGCATTTGAGGATCAGAGGGATAATGATCTCTGGTATTATTAATTCAGCTAAGTCCTCCCTTGTACAGTTTCCAGACTCCATGCTCCATCTCATGTTTTCATTTTATGGCTAGGTATGCATAACAGCCATTTCATAAATTCATCCCTCCATGATAGGCATCTTATCTATAGGATGCTCTCAAAATTCCAAATGTGTCCACCAGCAAATACAAAAAGAGAGAAATCCTCTATTAGCAGTTCTATTCAGAACTAAAAACCAGGAAAAAGTACAGATCTGCAGGAGGATTTGTCTTGCGCAGAGACATCTAGTATGATGGTTCATCAAATGAAAGGAGAGAACAATCTGCCAGCTTCATACATCGTGTTCTCTTGTTTCTCACTGATTATCTTGCTTTATTTGGCAAATATCCTACATTTTCTTCTTAAAGCCTGACCACTGCTTTTTAAAGATCCATTATAAACCTGTGTTGCAAGGAATTTAAAAATAACCCTTTGCTGTAGGGCAAGAATATCTTGCTTTTTATCTGACTGAAACACCAAGTAAATACCTCAGGGCGCCACTGGATGTTATTCAGAGTTCTTGTAGCAGGGTTTGGGGATAAAAGATCAGAAGAAGCCTTGAATGTAGGAAGGATTGCTCACCACATTTTGAAGTAAGCAATGCAATACACAGTGTCAGCTAAAATGTCCCAAGTATATCACTGTGGGACCTAAAATCTGGTACCACTACATCAGCTTTGCTATCAATTTTTTAAAAAGTATGCTTTGGTTAGAGTAGATTTGCTCTAGAGCATCTTCTGTTTTCAAACTGTATGCATTCTCATAATAGAAGCAAATATGTGTAGCTCAGGGTTGAACTGTGGAGTCCTTGGGGTTCTCTGA